TAAAAACTAAAAATGGCTGTGCTATGTCACAAGCCGATTACATATTTATTGGGTTATAGCAAGCTCTTAACCTAAGTCTATGGTATACTTTATTACTGTCCTCTCAGTGCTAGTTGAGAGCAGCATGACAGGCTCATGCTGGACCGGGCTCTCATCTCAGCACTATCTTGGGCAAGTGCTTTCAAGCTGCTGCAAGGGACCTGGGTGAGACTCTGAGAGAATGGTCAGCTCTAAATCACCCTAGCCCCCAGCAACAAGAGGGACAGAAGTCAGCAAAGTCCCAGCAACAAGAGGGACAGAAACCAGCAAAGTCAACTCATACATTTTGTTTGGAGGCCACCATCCATCAGGACAAGAGATTAATTCAATGTTGAAGATTAATGCCTCAGAGACCCTTAAACTAATACCTCTTAAAAGACACTGGATTTGCACAATGTGCTCAGACTGTGGTGGCCGGGTCTTCAGGGAAGCCATTCCCATCTCACCTGATCTGCCAACGTGGAACTCAGAGACAGACCCAAGGTGGGGCCAGCACCAGGAATGGAACCTGTGGCCATGGGGTGCCGATTGTGTTCAGTGTGCCTTGCAGGGCCCTTCCACGTCTGACTGCTAATGAGACATGCTGGAGGGACTGAGCTCAGGGGGCTGTGGATGAAGTGCTTGGCTTTGAATATGGGAGCCTTGGGCTGGGTCTGGGAGCTTCAGGGCTCCTGCCTCTGATCCCAGGACCCTGCCTCAGAGCCTGGACTGTGACTCTGAGCCTGACTTGCAATGTGGCCTGATGGAGGAACAGTGCTTCTCAGATGTGCCCAGTTGTCCTCTGGGAGGGAAGAAGGAGACGCCTGGAATTGTGCAGCAAAAAATACACCACCCCACTGGGAGTTTTCTTACTCCTCCCTAATACAACATACTCCTGGTGATTTACTTTATATACCATCTCTGGTCTTGGTGGCCATGTGGCCTCATGTCCCCGGAGGTTGTTCTCACAGGCATCCGGGTCACAAGGTCCCTCCTAGACCTGGAAAAGGGCAGCCTCCCTCCCCCAGGCCCTTGACTCCCTGGAGAGTCCAGAAGCAGGGCAGCCCCTCCCTGGGATGGCTGGGAACATAGAGTGTGAGGACTCCTCTAGTGTCTGACTGCCCTGGTCTCCCTAGGGATGACCAGCTGGAGGAAACGAAGACACAAAAGTAGAGGTGTAATTAAGGAGCACTTACTCTCAAAACCTCAGAGGACTGATTTTCTTTGGGGGCAGCATTAGCAGAGGATTGATCCAATCAGAGACCTGGGACATTCCAGAGCCCTTGCAGAAGCAAATGGCTATGTTTATGAGCTTAATGTGGCAGAGTCTCCCTCTCCTGCCTACCCTGCCCAGCCCTTTCCAAAACCTGGCTATCGATTCTGCCTCCCAGACACCTCCCAGTCCCTCCCTTCCTTCCATTCCTGGAACCACGTGCCTCCCCCCAGGCCCAGGTGCCTCCTGGGACCCAGCTGGCCTCTGACTCACTCCCCAGGCTCAGCTTCCACCAGCAGAGCCTGCTTACTCAGGCTCAAGGGTTCTGCAGGTGTGGCCTGCAGTAGGAGCCCTTAGACAAAGGCCCTGTTGTCTAGAAACCCACCTCCAGGAGAAGTGGTGGTGGGATCAGATGGATGATAAAAAAAGAATAAAAAATGTAACCATATCAGGGATGCCTCTCCAGGATCTGGTTACAGCTGAGAAGCCCATGCCACTATTTGTTGAAAAATGTGTGGAATTTATTGAAGATACAGGGTTACCTACTGAAGGACTCTACCGTGTGAGCGGGAACAAAACTGATCAAGACAATATTCAAAAGCAGTTTGATCAAGTTCATACTATCAATCTAGTGTCAATGGAAGTAACAGTAAATGCTGTAGCTGGAACTCTGAAAGCTTTCCTTGCAGATCTGCCAGATCCTTTAATTCCATATTCTCTTCATCTAGAGCTTTTGGAAGCAGTAAAAATCCCAGATAAAACAGAACGTTTTCACGCCTTGAAAGAAATTGTTAAGAAATTTCATCCTGTAAACTATGATGTATTCAGATATGTGATAACACATCTAAACAGGGATAGTCAGGAAAATGAAATCAACTTAATGACAGCAAACAACTTATCCATCTGTTTTTGACCAACCTTGATGAGACATGATTTTGAAAATCTAGTGTTTCTGTCTACCACTGAGATTCATCAATCAGTTGTTGAAACATTCTCTACCTTTTTAATGTGGCCACAGAACATTTAAAGCAACACCCACGGTTTGCATTCTACTGACGGAAGTGCCGGTCTGGACAATGTGTGGAGGCAGTGGGCAACCTCTGAAGGTTGGGCAGGGCTACATGGTGGACAGGTATAAATCCCCTTGGGGAAGGTCCTAGACCAGCCAATGAGCAAGGGGCAGTATGGAGCATGCCTCGATGATGCATGGGTAATAGCACATGCTGTAGCAGGGCTTGTCATTGCTGCTATTTTGGGAAGACTGCTGTGATGCCAGGCGAGGACAGGTGATAGGGGTGGTGGAGGAGCAGCGAGGACAGGACACAGGCCCGGGAGGTGGGGTCAGCATGACTTGAGGCTGGAGAAGGTATCACATTATAAGAAGAGATAGAGGGAGACATTAGCTGATACAGAGGATCGGGTGATACCGCTAGGTTTGGGGGATGGTTGCAGGAAGGTGAAAGACATGCTGGGAGTCAGGACAGCACCTCAGTGAAGCATGGTTGGGAGCCCTGGCCTTATGTCCCACACAGCTGCTGTTTTGCCAAGCTCCCTGGACAGTCCCTGAGGATTTTAGCATCAGTTTTTTCCTTTGAGGCCTCAGAGGGTTGGAAATAGGGTTCTCTGGGGCCCCCCTCAGTGCATCCATGTAAAAGACTGTGACCACATGCCCACAAACTGCAGGCACCCACAAATGTTCCTGACTATCATCTGGTCTGCCAGAATCCCTTGCGGGAGATGCTAAGGGGATCCAATTTTCCTGGAAAACCTCTTGCCCAGACCATGTTTTCCCATGGGTGGCTCCAGAGTGTATATTTCACCTCAGCATTTCCTCCAGCCATGGCTTCTCAAATATATAAGTAGGTGTAGCTGTGATGAAATCTGATTATGGAGATTTATGCCAAGAAAGGGACCTGGAGAGGGCCAAGTGGTTTTGCCTCTTCCTGTGCTGTGTTTCAGAGGGAGGGGAGACCCAAGATAAGCACCCTGCTCTCTGGAACATGCCAAGTTTCTGTTGTAGACCAGGGACACTCAGGGAACATGAGGGACATGCAGATTCTGGGTGATGAAAGGCCTTGTCTTTGTACCAGGATCGGGTTTATGTCTGTAGTGCATACACCAAGTGAAAGACTATAGAGGGTTTTGAACCCTTGAGTTGTGGTCAGAGTTATAAAACCTGAAATGTGGGAGACAGAACTACTTCCAGCAGGTGTCTCTGGGTGCTGGGAGGGTCTGATCATTACTATACATCCCAAATAAGTCCAGGAAGTAGGAGTGACCCACCTCAGGGGCCCAGCTGGTGAGTCATGGGGAGACTGCAAGGCCCTCAGCCAACCCCAACCTAATCCCACCTCCCCCTGAGGCCATGCAGATAGCCTAGTCAGAATGAGGACAGTGGCCACCAAGACCATCCAAGACTCCACCAGCCAGGCTCACAGCTGGCATCCAATAAATGCTTATTGGATTCCTTTGGAGGAGCTCTGGGTACCACACCTAAAATCTGTGTGACCTTAGGGGAACAGGTTTCCCTCTCTGGGCCACAGTTTCCATTGAAAATGTGGGGATTGAATATGATTATGTCTAAGCACTGGCACTGGCACTTTGGGGATCTAATTCTTGCATACCCTTCCTTAGTTGACCTCAGAACCTCTGAGCCTGCTTTGCTGATGAGAAAGTCTCCCCAAATCTCTGGACTATGTCAAAATCCCTGGTGAGAGTTCAGCGTGTTCAGAAGGAAGAAAGAAAGGAGGCAGGAGGGAGGAGGGAGGGGGAAAGAGGGAGAAAGGTGGGGAAAGAGAGGTAGAAGGGAAGAGGGCAGAGAAAGAAAGAAAGGAGGGCGGAGTAGGTAAGAGGAGGGAGGGAGGGAGGGAGGAGTAGGGAGAAAAGAGGAAGGAGAAAGAAGGGAGGAAGGAGGGGAAGGAGGTATGAGGGAAAGGAAAGAAAGGGAAGGGAGGGATGAAGAGAGGGAGGGAGAAAGAGGAGGGTGGGAAGGAGGGAGGGAGAGAAGACTAGCTCACTGGGCACCCTCCTTTGCCATGCGCTCTTCCTGTGACCTCCCAGCACCCACATCATCCCCAAGTTCTTTCATTGCATCTGGCAGCTCAAAAAGTGATGATTCCAATCGCCATTTATTCAAATTAAAAATAAAAACTGAAGTCTAAAATCAGGCAAATAGACATGTGGAAGGCAAGCACAGTTGGAAAATGCTATTTGCAAGTGGGCTGTCTAATTGAAAGCATGTGTACATATTCACTCTTAAAAATGATCAAATGATGTCATTATGCAGTGCCGCCCTCCTCCTCACCACTCCCTCTCACTCGCTTGGAACACCACACAGGTGTGACCAGACAGCGTCCACCTGGGAAGCTGGTGCTGCCTGCCAATTGGCACTGGCCTTGGGCAAGGCTTGCAGCCCTTTGAGTCTCGGTTTCCTTGTCTGTAAAAAGTGTTACTGAGGCAGACCTCATCAAGGGATGTGGTGTGGGGAACAAACGTGGGGCTGCAGAAAGTCATGGGTGTTGGCACCGTCTGCATTATGGGACCATCTGAGGGAGATGATTCTGTCCCCAGATTGTCATGTTGCTTACAGCATGGACCGCTCTTCCTGAAGATGCAGTTGCCTGTGGATGTGCATTCTGTTTCCTGATAATTATGGCACTTGCTCTGCATCTGACAGCTGGAAAAGTCTCTTGAATGGACCCCATGACCCCTTGGGAGGGTAGATATTAATGTCAGCACTTTACATATGGGGAAACTGAGGCCCAGTAGGAAAGGGACTTGCCGAAAGGGAAACCAGTGGCAGAGATCAGACTGGAACTTCGGTCTAAGCAGAGGCGACATATGTTGAAGATATTTTCCTGCAGAATGTGTCCAAGCTGGGTCAAGGTCAAGGTTGGGTGAGGTTTGTTGTGTGAGAGAAGGAACAGATGCAGAGCCAACAGCTCAGGACCACCTTAGCACTTGGACCGAGGGGCTCCATGGAACTTGCTAAGAGGACACTTGGATCTGCCGCGCAGACTTACACTAAGCCCTTTCAGGATTGTCAAGGAAGGGGAATTAAGGTGACTTGAGACACCTGTGGAGCAGTTAAGGCATCCAGGAAGATTCTGGAATGTGACTTGAGATTCTGAGTGTGAAGTGCAGAGGCAGACACCAAGGAGTTATGAGGGTGGAGGGGAAGGAGGACACACAGCCTGCCCTGGCCTCCTCATCAGTCTCACCTCCTCCAAGCTGCACCCCCAGATCTCCCCATGGACTAGCAGTGAAGGTGTTAGACCTGGCTGGGCAGGGGAGAACCCATCTGATCAGGCACACCTTGGGCTCCTCCAACAACCTCCAACCTCCCAGCAACTGGACACTGGCTTCAGCCTGTCCCAGTGCAGGAGCCACAAGGGACCCACTGGCTTAGGGCATCACCTTAACCCCATCCCAACCATGACCTCAGCCCAGCCATGTCCCCTGTGGGCTGAGTGGACTTAGGCAGCAGGGGCTCCTGACTTTCCACACCTGAACCCACAGGACACAGCAGGCACGGCCACCCACAGTGCCTATGCCTGTCTCTCTGGGTCCATCCTGTAGCCTCACTCTTCATCAGCTTTTCCATGTATGGATTCAGCCCCTGGTTGTGGCTTTGCAAAGTTCTTTGCAACCCTCAGGTGTTGGGGGCTGTGATGCTCACCGGCAGATCTTCCCAGAATGAAGCTGGACCGGGCCTAATCCCAGAGCCCTGCCTGCAGCCTTCACTGGCACCCTCAGGATGAAATGGGTGCACAACCTGGGACCAGAGCCTAGAAAGGCAGCTCACGCCTTTACACCTGCTCCCGGTGACTGCACCACATCTGCTCCACAAGGAGGACCCAGTTCTTTCCCACAAATCCTCATGTCTGTCAACTCCTTGGGCAGCTGAACTCCTCTGATGCTAGAGTTCCTCCAAATACACCTCTCCCAAGCACCGATGCAGTGTCGGGTGATGTGCTGATTCAGGCATGTGGAGGGGCCAGGCAGGGAAACCTGCAGGTGTCAGAGCCCACTCAACTGTCCAGATTTCTCAGATTTTGAAGTGATTCCACAGCCCTTGGACAACAGTGCCACCCCCCACTGCCAGTGTCCCCATTGCCAGGACCCCTCCTCCATGTTGCTCCCCAGACCTCCTCAAGGGCCAGGAGTGAAGGGGTTAAAGCTAGCCTGGCAGAGAGTACCAGGGTCCCAACCCCAGGCTGACTGAAACATCTGCTGTTGAAGGGACACTGTCCACCCAGGGGAGCCCACGCTCCCATGGTGCTGAAAGCCAGCAAACTGACCACTGGAGAGCAACCTAGAGAACAGCTCTCATGGGGCTGGAAGTGCCCTGGCATCCCATGGGCTGGGGAGGGTGCTGTGGGCTCCCATGGGGCCTGGGGAGGTGCTGCTTGTGCCTAGGAGGGCCCCCACATGTGGCAGTGTCTTAGGGAGGCCTGGCCTAGGAGATTCAGGAACTGAGAGGGTAAAGAGGGCAGAGTGGGCCAGACCCAGGTCTGGGGTACTGCAGGACACACCTCTGAGACTGGTGTTCAAAGCCAGCTGCTCTGGGCAGCATTGCAGAAATGAGGGCAGATAGTCCAGACAGAGGCCAGAGAGGCCCAACTCCAGAGGCTCAGACCAGAGAGAGCCGGAAGGCACGGTCACAGGCACAGCTTCAGTGGGACCACCATGGCCTGGCTCTCTTCCAGACACTGAGTGGGAAGCATCACTCAGTCCCCACCCCAGCTGATGGCTCTTCCTGTGCCAACAAGAAGACTGAGACATGAGGTGAAGTCACTTGTGTGAGGGCAGAACGGAGGGCTGAATTCTTTCTCTCATTCTACCAGCTTCTAGCCTTGTGGGAGGGTAGGGGTAATGGTGCTTCTGGCTGGTTGTGTTTCTGGAGGTCTTGAAGTGATGCAGGGTGGGGCCTTTGCAATGGCTCCTGTCCCCACCAATGGAAATTTTAGAATTTGCTTTTAACTGTGCAGGCTGAATGGGACCTGTGTCCTTGGAAGTGCCTGTCAC